AAAAAAATGGAACTTACCCTTTGAGCCCAAAAGTTTTGTAAGTTATGCCTCTGTTTTTTGGTTCGCTTCATTCTCTATCAATCCCCACAGAGAGAGACATCTGTGTAAGTGGATCAGATTTGTTAAAACAACGGAATAGTTTTGACAAATAGCTTCATGCAAATAACATCTCGGCCCACGAGGTACATTCCAGTATTATTCCTTTTGTAATCATAAGTTTTTTGTGGGAGTCACGCTGTTTAGCTGTAAGTATACTGGGATTAGCACGTGAAGGCAAGGCAGTTTCATATATAGCTGTTTTAGGAAAATGTCCAATAGAAGCAACAATCCCGAAAGGCAGTCTGGGATATAATGAATATCCAACAATGCTTCAACAAATTATAACAGTGATGTCAGACCTGCCATGGAGGGAAAGGTGGATTAAAGAGTTTCTAGCATACAGTGTAAGTAAAGGTTACTCTGCACACATGACCAAAACCATTCCAGCACTGTGTCCAAAGTACCTTAATACTGGGGAAGATTTCAAACAAGCAATTAATACTTTTATTATACATCCTACCATGGAATTCATAATCATAGAAGCAATACTGCAATATATACCAAGAGGGAACCCGTCAGAAAAAAAAGATCAGGTCATGTCTGTGATTCATCAATAATTTTAATCCTCCGGAATTAATGTACATTTTAGGTACATTACTCGCTATTACTCTTCTTTTACAACTACCGTTCTCCAACAAGAAGTTAGTACAAGTAACAAATTGAAACTTCCATGGGGTTCTCCAAACCCCCCACCGTCCTCCATTTGCACTCAGCACATTATAATATTCGAAGAGAAAATTACCAATTTCAAAGTGCATCTGCTACAGAGGGGTTACCCAGAGGATCTCATTAACACAACCCTCTCAGAGGTGAATTTCAAAGACAGGAAACTAGCCCTTCAACAGAAACCAAAGACAAACCAACGAATCTTGCCTTTTGTCACACAATACCAACCATCAGTGCCTTAGGGGGGTGGTTTCTGACATGAACCAATACATCTCCTTGTCCATTAACCAGAATGCAATGGTCTTGTCACCCACAAGGGCCTGGTCATGTGACTCAGCGTAAGCAATGGTTTTTTCACCATGGCGACGGTTTATCAGGGTCCACACAATATCCCACATGCGCCAATCCTCATCTTTCTTTTCTTTCAGAATCTAAGATAATTATGGACAACGAAGTTATCAGCAAATTTTTGCAAGCGCAGTTGCTGAAGCGCAATGCTACTAATGTAAATTAAAAGAACCACGTACAAGCTGAAAGCCAAGTAATTCTAAGCGCTACAGCCGACCTCCCAGCCCAGCCGCACATCCTTCATCAAGGTACACGTTTATAAGAAAACCACCCATAGTCGCTCCCTTCCCCTGCCATTTTTCAGTAATTTCAAGTCACCTTTAGGATGATAGAGGAGTTCACGCTCATAGTTGCATAATGGGTAATCAGGGCAAGATGGAGCGCAAAGAAGTCCGTGATCAGTTTTTAGAAAACCCCAATTTTTCCATACATTTTCTGTAATTTTGATACTGCCGAATTACAGAAAATATATAGGAATATCACGGTTTTCTAAAAACTGATCACGGACTTCTTTGCAGTCCAGATTTAAGGTATGGCTTCTTTGAAGTCGTAAGTTACTCTTTTCAAAGAGAAAGCATCAAGTATATGAATTCAGGAATAATTAGCTGGCTTTGAATTCCAATACAAATCTTTGAATTTCCCGCCACCTTGCCCTGATTACCCATGATGCAACTATGAGCCGAGCGTGAACTCCTTTAATCGTAAAGGTTGGTTTTCCCCATTAGTTTTGCAAAAAGATATATCAAGACTAACATGCTGTAACACTGGTTGTGAAGATTCTCTATCAGCAATGATAAGAACTAACGTTTGTCCAAACCCAAACTAAAACACAAAAATCCATCAGTGTAATAGGAATCGACTTCACTTTTTATGAAATATAGCTGCTGCATCAGAGTCTTCATATCATAGAGGAAGCATCACTTTTCATGTAAACTCTGAAAGCACTGTTTATACCTTGATCCATAGGTCAGGTATGGCCATACCAAGACGATAATCAAAGCCTGTTCCACCTTCTGCTATTGGACGACATAAGCCTGGCATTCCTGACACCTCCTATAAACAATTAACCAAGCTGAGTTAGTACTAGTGAATTACATTTTTACTGTCACATGGCATCCACGAACTACAGGTCATAAAAAGGAAATTAAAAATATATTTCACAGATGATTAAATCTGCTATATGTAGCAGAAAATGGAATTTACGATCTCCCAAAACCAGTCCAACCTAGGATTGAAGACCTAATATTTCTTTCCTTACACCCATCACCTCCTAAGAGAATCGGGGAGTATTATCTAGCCACCCAGAAGGTGATGATTGCCTCCACCTTCTGTTACTCTTGATATTTTAAACAATGACTGTTAAATCTACCTCTGCTATAGTAATGACTCCAGGATAAAGAGAATGAAGCATATCATTGGCTAACATCAGGTAGATAAGTGAATCTGTGTCCACCCCAAGTCCATAATAATCTGGATAGTCTCCACCAAAGCCATGTCCAAGTCCATGGTCATGATAAATCATGGATGTGACACCATCAAATCTAAAGCCATCAAACTTATAGTTCTCCATATACCATCGAAGATTGGAAAGAAGAAATCGTAACACTTCCCACCTGATCATATGGTAAAAAACAATAAAGTACATACATGTATTAGAACATTATTATTATCTGAGCTGCATGTGTCAGAAACTGGTCATTTCAATAAGAAGTTGTTTCGATAGAAGTCATTTCAATACAAACCCAAGCAGTGAAATTGCATACAAATTTTGTTCACTTCAAGTATAGTTTGCGAGTAAACAAGAAAAGCATTTTGGGTGAATATTCTTTGTTCTTTAAGCCAAGTGTGTGGAACTACACCTCGACTGAAAAAACTTGTATTGAAACAACTTTTTATTGAAACTACAAAAGTTGAGGCGTGCTTGTTTCTTTATCACACGTTTTGGTCTTACAAAACCTACATGTAAAAATGTTGGAGGATGGATTCCATCAAGAGGAACAGTGTAGATAAATTTTTGTCGAGAGTTTTGATGAAAGTCAGTTCATTAGATCTGGTTTTTGAGAGAATTATTACCCTTTTTTACTTTTGTAAGACAGCATGATTTTCGAGGATTTCCTTGGGAAGGATTTGACAACTTTTATGATTATAAATGAAGTTCTGGGTTTTTCAAGGTCCATAGTGCATGTAAGACTCTGAGTCCCAAGATTGACCAACACCAGTTTTCTCCTAACTATATCAATATATCATCAAGAGAAAAGGTTGCGAGAATAATTAACAAAACGATGACCAAGGAAAAAATGCTTATTATTTTGAGCACGAATGTCAACAAATTTTGAAAAACACATGCCAAGGGTAATGGCATCATTACTAACGTCATCTCCGCCAATCAGCATTTTGAATCAACTTTTTCGATGCAGATATTCAAATTCCAGAGACATAGTTGCAAGCTCTCCTTCCTTTTCCCACCCCGCTGCCAGAGCGGCCCAGAGAGCTTGCTCGCAGACTATGTATGGAGACAAGTGTGGAAAATTTGTATGTGGATATTGGGACTCAAAGAGTCAACAACAGTCAAGATTAAAAAACATGTCTTAGATTTTCCCACTCACTTGGTATAATCAAACAGCCGGCTGTCCCAGAGATCATGGAAGCCCCGTCCACCATCATGAAAATGACAGCTGTGAGTGCCGTCAAATTGATTGAGTCCATCAAGCACATTCTTTGCCGCATGGCTATGTACCACATCTAGTAAGACTAGAATGCCGTTACCATGAGCGACGTCAATTAATTCCTTTAACTCCTCTGGTGTTCCATAACGACTGAGTGACATTAAACAACAAGAAAAAATGCCATTATCTACATGTAATTGAGGTTCTTTTCCAAGGTTGCAGTAAGGACTTTATGGCACAAGCGAAGAAAATTGATTAATTAACATGCTTTTCAATAATTCTTTTTTGTTTGCGTATTCTGAGTGTCCCCATCAAGTTGAACAACCTTTCCACTCGTAATGGTGACCAAAGAGGAGTTTCACAAAAAAAACCTTAAATTTTATTTTGTAACATCATATATTTAGAAATAAATAGTACTATGTCAAAGTTGTTTAAAAGAGGCTCTATTAATCAATGGTAACACAATAAGAATTCATAGACAGATCAAAAAGTGACAGTGATAAAGACCTTGCAATAAAATGGTGTAGGAGTAAAAGGGTAGCAAAACAATAGTAAATATCAATATTATAAACAACACTTTTACTGAAAAAATTAATAGTCTGCATAATTTACCCTATCACTTGGACATAAATAAAGATAACCTGTAGCCTCTGGTTTTGAAACTATTTCACTTTCAAAACATGGGAAATGCCAAAAATGTCACAGTTCAGGACTCCTTACAAATGCAAGTACATACACATATTAGGCCAAGTTGTTTTGAACTATCTTTGGTTTTACATTAAGTGACTTGAAGAGTGGCAGTGTAGCCGAGAGGTTAGAATAATCAAGGCTGTGCTAGCGCTCTAAGGAAAATTGAAGGGTGCCCAGTGCTCTGAAAGTGTAAAATCCAGGGTGCCCAGCATATGATTTGTATGAAAAATCTGAGATTTTCTAGTCGCCCGAGGGCAAAAGTTAGGCACCAGGGGCCACCAGGCTCTGCTAGATCACAGCCCTGATAATGCACGTGTAATACAGATGCATCAAGTTCAGGTCTCACCCTGACTGCTAGCTGGACTTGTTCTCTGTAGTCCTGAGCTCAAATCTGCCGCCACACTTGTAAACAGCCAACTGGTTCACCTCCTACCAGCTGTGACTCTTGACCTTGTTATGTTCTATTTGAGTTATTTATTTCATATCCCTGAAAAGCCCCATAAGGGAAGAGACGAATTATGCATTTATTGTTATAGTTACCTGGAAGCTGCAAAGAAGTTTGTTACTTGGTAACCGAAGCAGGCATAATATGCATGCTCCATAACAGCCATAAGTTGTATACAGTTATATGAGGAGAATTATGCATTTATTGTTATAGTTACCTGGAAGCTGCAAAGAAGTTTGTTACTTGGTAACCGAAGCAGGCATAATATGCATGCTCCATAACAGCCATAAGTTGTATACAGTTATACCCTAGCTTCTTTATTCTTGGAATAACATTGTAAGCAAACTCTTTGTAACTGGCCACTCTAAGTTCAGGGGAAGCTATACCAACATGGCACTCATAAATGCGCAAGCCTGAAGTTTTCTTGGGTTTACTGTTTTGCCACTGGTAGGGTTGTGGTGGATCCCAATGAATTCCTACATACAGGTGTGTTCCATCATTTGGATCAACTGCATAGCGAATCCATGGAGAAACACGGTCCACTAGATCACCATTTTCAAGCTGGATTGCAACCTGAGGTGGAATTACATGTAATTCAGTGTTCAATCTAGCAATTAGTCAAAGTGGGTCACATGTCCCACATGGCATTTTAAATTGAGTTCTGGGTCAAACTATGATATTGAAACTTTGAACAACTGCCATCATCCAAACTATCATGAGCTTCACCACCATCCTTATCCAGGCCTTCTTCACGCTTTTGTTGTTGTTTCATAATGAATGAAGGAAAAGAACAAATTCAACAAACAAAGCCTGAATTGATTGGCAAAGCAATGTGTGCAGGACGTCAAAAAGTACACTCCACTCTCTCTGTACAGCATGAAAGGCCTGAAACAAAAGCTACTCATTAGGACATAGACTGAAATGGCAGTCATTTTGCATGCTTATTTTAGGCTAGTGAGCACACCTTTTCTATTTTTATATTGACTACTGATTTGGAAGTACTTGAATTTGAGGTAACCTTTTTTGCATCAGTGTGACTCCACGATAATTTCATTTTGCATCAGAATTGGAATATTCTGTGTCAATGACACAAAAACGCTGCCTAGATTTAACACTGATTAATTAAATTCTTTTTTTCAATTGCACATAATATTTATTTTGTATAAAAAAAGTTTAAAGTTATAGGTATCAACAGATCCAGACTGTCCGTGCCAGATAGTCCAAGATATATAAATAATGTTCATGCAAAAACCTCCCCTAAACCCTTTATTTCTCATTACCGCTATAAAACCAACAATTTGTTCAAAGTTAAGCAGAGCTTTCGGAACACATCAGGATCCCTTTTATCAGTGATGACATTTGATGTTATTCACAGCCTCGTTTTTGATGAGGCTGCAAAATTGTTCCATAAATTGGGGGAAGGTTGTAGCCCTTATCGCGGTTCATTTCCGGTCGCCGAGTAAATAGTATGCGTTCTCCTTCGATGAATGCAATAACAACTTGTCTCCTTGGAAACTGTGATTAACTTACTTACCTTAACTTTTGATCCATGGGGAATAGGGGATGATCCATCTTCCTTATAAGGTAAGGTTAGTTCCCAGACCCCATACTCATTTCTTGTGCATCCATGAGAAGTCCTGTTCCATCCATCTAGAAAAAAACAACATCAACAAAAACTCTTTGCATCAGCTGATAGCCTCCAAGTTACAACCATCCTATAAAAATTTTGACTGGCTTTCAAGATTTTGACTCTTAGACCTGCTGTGAGGGCTCTTCATTTTTACCCAAACAGGTGTCACTTAGGGTTACACAAAGAAATATCTATGTAATTTAAAGAAACCACACTGAGGTAAAGCCTAAGCCATAATCAAACGATCAGGCCCTCGTTATTTAAACGTTGAATAGTGCTATCTAGCGGATAAGTAAATTAATATCCAGTGAATAGCTAACAGGGGAACCAATTACTTTGTCAACTGCATAGGAATTTATCCAGTGGAAAGTGTCATACACGCTTGAATGACTGAGGAATGGTAAGTATCCTTGTTGTGAATGAGAGTCTCTCAAAACCCTCTCAAAAGAAAACCCCTGGAACATTCGTTCTTGTTCTTCACAGCAGCATTTCCTGGTACTAAAACAGCAGTCATGTGATTAGAGCAATTTTCATACGACCTTGAAAAATGGTTTTGGTAAATGTTCATTATTTGTTTTATCAGCCAATGGATGAAAAGATCAAAACATGAACTTCCTGCCAAAGAAAAACCTAATATGGAGAAGGAATTGTTTGATTGGTGTTGCAGCATGACATCAAAGTGAAGTATCGATTGATTTGTAGAAAGTTCTTTGGGCATGAAGTTTTTTCAGCTGAGCGTTCGCTTAACCAACCAAAAGTCAAATGCGATTTTATCCCTTAGACAAGCCGATCAAATTGATCTATTTCCATTTATTTGTGCATTTTCATTTCAAGGTCATACGAAAATCACTCTAATAAGTTTGCTTACTGAAATCTCCTGTAAGGAACACTCCATGTGCTCCGGGGGCCCACTCTCTGTACTTCAAACCCTCAGGTGTTCTATTGATTCCAAGTCTCTCATAGCCTCTTGAAAACTTCTCTAAGCTACCTTCGTTGTCTTCAATTTGCTTCTTGAGACCACAAAACACTCTATACCTGTGGCAGGACAACTTAGATAAGAGAGTTTTACAAACAGGTCATTGGCTCCACCCAAGGAGCGAGGAGTGACGGCTGAATTTGCAGGTTATCATGCATGTGGCAATTATTGTTTAGATTTTGCTCCTTTCAATTAAACAAGAGATAACCTTGAACTGGAAATCTTTTATAAAATGTACAGTCTGTAGCACTTTTATTTAAAACACAAGTGCTGTGGGGATTCACTCGTGATTGGTCCTGAACTGTGGGTGATACCTTTATGTTGAAAATTATCATTAATCTGTGGAGGGCAACGAGGAAAAATGGGAGATATGGGTGCATGTAATGGAAATCACACTAACAACAAAAGTCTATGATACCAGTGCATAACATAAAAAATTCAACTGCCTACAGGACTAAAAGTATATTTGAAACATCTCTATTCCTCACTCCAGAAACTGTATAAGGGAAATGGGCAGATCAAAGCTTTTGGCCCAACAATTTCTGGGATCATGTGGGCGGAATTAGTCAATGGTGTTCAAGGCAACCATTAACAATTCATTTCAGTAACGCTAGTCCACCCACACCATCCCAGAAATCTTTGCATGGAAAGTTTGTACTTATTCCTCTTGTTGTTTCTGGAGCAGGGAATTCAGTGTCATTTTTCAGCGTTGACCTCAAAGTCTACCTTCTTTCAATCTCAGTTTGATATGGTTTAACATACGGGTCATCGTGAAGAAATCTAGAAAAATGTGGAACTACTTGGTCATCTACCATCTACAAAAAAAGCCACAAAGATATAGTTACACCTTTGTAGTAAGTACCTCTTTATTTATAATACACACATGCAACTCTCAATATTACAGACACTTCCCACAGTCCTGAAGAAACCAAGGGACATTTCCGCAAATACAAATGCAGGACCAAATGCATGCAAAGTGAAAATGTTTGTCCACTGCCATGCATGGAATATTGGAAGGCTCAAATATTATGCACACATATATCTAACTATGCTTTCTTTTGCACGTATTGGACATGTGCACCTCTCTTGCATTTGCATTATTAGTTTTTATCATCATTATTTTGTGCTGCATGTTGTACCAGCCAAAACACAACACTGTATTATGTGGACACTTGATTCTGTGTCCTAGGCTTCTGTTTAATAGGGATTTCAACAGTATCCCTGAAAAATATAGAGAAGTAACTTACATGTATGCTTAACTATCAACCAAAGCATAATTTATAGAAAAATATGACAAAAGCCAATCGAAATGGCCAAACAATTACAAAATAACGTATCCAACAACAATAAATCAAAAACAGTCACTTCTCAAGAACTTATTTTTCATCATTTTGCAGAAAACAAATCTCAAACACAAATTGTTATAAATACATGTATGATGCTAAACTGCTGTCACGCCACCTAGAAGAAGCAGGAAAGATATGANTGGACACTTGATTCTGTGTCCTAGGCTTCTGTTTAATAGGGATTTCAACAGTATCCCTGAAAAATATAGAGAAGTAACTTACATGTATGCTTAACTATCAACCAAAGCATAATTTATAGAAAAATATGACAAAAGCCAATCGAAATGGCCAAACAATTACAAAATAACGTATCCAACAACAATAAATCAAAAACAGTCACTTCTCAAGAACTTATTTTTCATCATTTTGCAGAAAACAAATCTCAAACACAAATTGTTATAAATACATGTATGATGCTAAACTGCTGTCACGCCACCTAGAAGAAGCAGGAAAGATATGAACTACCTCCAGCATGACAAGATGGCAAGCTAATCACACTAAAGATTTGCTTCAGTCATGCCTTGTATAGTTTGTACACATGTACATGCACAGGAGATACAGCTTCTAAGCTTTATATGTTAAAACAAAACTAAACAAAATGCATGTGTTTCTGCTTCATATTTCAAAGGTTATCAATACCATTATTTGTTTAAAATGTAGAGAATCTAGAGGACTGAGCAACAACTAACAAGTATATCAAAATAATGCTATTAGAAATTTAACAAAATGTGTTAATGCTTAATAAATATTAAACAATAAAAGATCACCATAATTTATTAACCACAGACATACTGTAAGCCTCCATATGACCATGTGAGTAGTGTTAAATTCCACATTACATTATATAACCAGATCAAAGAAAAAGATTTCTAAGAACTACAAAAAAGTGAATGTAGCTTAGGAACCAACTACAAACTCTTTACTGAGAATTTTCAGCCTATTTAAAAGGCACAAGCTACAATTAATATAAATTACTTTATTTAGCTTAAGACTTTGGAAGGTGCAGGAATAAATATAAAGATGATTTATATAACTCATGTTCTTCACAAGAGTAAAAGCCTTGTAAATTTTAACTACCAACAATACCTCTCTTCTTGATAATATGCTTGTCAAACTATGCTACTGTCAAATATGTGTTAAGTTTTAATCCCCTGGGAGTCTCAAATAGTTGAACTACAGTGGAAATTCAACTAGACTAATTTATGCATGCAGACACTGCCACATGAACAGTGAATGGCAATGAAACCCGAGTACACAAAAGACTGAAATCCGGATGAAATTTGCATAAATACAAAAGATATGTAAAACGATCTGACTTTCATGTCACATTACATGTACAGGTCACACAATCATAAAATTTAGCAGCATTTTTCCATCGGTTTTAACAAGAATTATTCCCTTTTGTTAATGGCTAAAAAAGGAGGTTAACAGTACTGTGGCATTTTTTTCCTGAACACAGGGGTATTTTATTAATGAACAAGATTATGATTACAAATATAGACAACATCTGATAATATGTAAAAATCAGGCTTTCAGTAAGTTTTAAATTATTGCAGCAGATAGCAGAAAGTTTACTTGGCTGCAAGAAAAAGAACCCATAAATAAGGGAAAGGTATAAAACATTTTGTGGGCTGAGGTCATAGGTAATCAACTGTTATACAAACCCTTGCAATGGACGTGCAGTTTTAAACTAAAATAGTGTTTTGAAAGCTTTTTACTATATACACACAGTCAAGAATGTTGTTGCCCAAATGTAAACACTAAGAGTAAGTACTGATTTGAAAGGTCACACTCAGTCAGCGACTGTATAACTGTAAAACTGTAAAATCTTTTGTGTATGTGCATGAAAATAGGCATTGCTGATTTAAACTGTATTGTAGAAATTATCTATTCAAGCAATGACAAGCAAACAGCTTTCCAAGACCAAGCTAATCTGAGCTTCAAGGATGACAAAATGTACAAGGTCAAATATTTGTACCTATATTGATACATTTGTATTGATATCTATATTGCAACTGCTGCATGTAATTTATTTTATACAGATAATATATATTAAAAGTTTGAGGGAAAATGAAGACAGTTACTCAAAATTTATTCATGAAACTTGAGTTATAAATCTCTCAAACTCAAAAATGTTTAAATTTCCCTTGAATGTATATAAATCAAGCACTCCAGTGGATCAGCAAAGCAATATACATGAACCTAATATTGCTTCTTTCAAGCCAAATTGATATCTATTTTTCTATTCTGGTTTTTTTACATATTCTTATTTTTGTTTTTTGTTATTTTTTTTTACAAATATATTGCAATTTCTTATAAACTCTAGCTCTCCAGGAACACTGAACCTAAGAAAAAAAAATGGAACTTACCCTTTGAGCCCAAAAGTTTTGTAAGTTATGCCTCTGTTTTTTGGTTCGCTTCATTCTCTATCAATCCCCACAGAGAGAGACATCTGTGTAAGTGGATCAGATTTGTTAAAACAACGGAATAGTTTTGACAAATAGCTTCATGCAAATAACATCTCGGCCCACGAGGTACATTCCAGTATTATTCCTTTTGTAATCATAAGTTTTTTGTGGGAGTCACGCTGTTTAGCTGTAAGTATACTGGGATTAGCACGTGAAGGCAAGGCAGTTTCATATATAGCTGTTTTAGGAAAATGTCCAATAGAAGCAACAATCCCGAAAGGCAGTCTGGGATATAATGAATATCCAACAATGCTTCAACAAATTATAACAGTGATGTCAGACCTGCCATGGAGGGAAAGGTGGATTAAAGAGTTTCTAGCATACAGTGTAAGTAAAGGTTACTCTGCACACATGACCAAAACCATTCCAGCACTGTGTCCAAAGTACCTTAATACTGGGGAAGATTTCAAACAAGCAATTAATACTTTTATTATACATCCTACCATGGAATTCATAATCATAGAAGCAATACTGCAATATATACCAAGAGGGAACCCGTCAGAAAAAAAAGATCAGGTCATGTCTGTGATTCATCAATAATTTTAATCCTCCGGAATTAATGTACATTTTAGGTACATTACTCGCTATTACTCTTCTTTTACAACTACCGTTCTCCAACAAGAAGTTAGTACAAGTAACAAATTGAAACTTCCATGGGGTTCTCCAAACCCCCCACCGTCCTCCATTTGCACTCAGCACATTATAATATTCGAAGAGAAAATTACCAATTTCAAAGTGCATCTGCTACAGAGGGGTTACCCAGAGGATCTCATTAACACAACCCTCTCAGAGGTGAATTTCAAAGACAGGAAACTAGCCCTTCAACAGAAACCAAAGACAAACCAACGAATCTTGCCTTTTGTCACACAATACCAACCATCAGTGCCTAACCTAAAGCAAATTCTCATGAAAAACTGGCTTTAATAGAACAACAACCATTACTGAGCGAAATCTACAAAAAACCGCCCCTCGTATCTTTCAAAAGAGGGCGGTCAGACATACTCGTGAGAGCCAAACTATAAAAAGGCTATTTTAAAGACGCGCTGGGGAGTCGTGTAGGCCTGTCAACCCATTTTACACTGAACTCTGACACTATCACAACCTATCCTATCTTTAAGGATGTTCATATGCGATCAGCGTCTTTGGAACAATCTTTCACAAAACAGCTGAATACAATTTCAAAGACATCCAAACCCCGCAACATGGATCTATCACTAACTAGTACATGCCAGCGCCATCAGTTATCATAAGATGTCTCACAAGCGGTTTGTAATCCTTTTTTAATACCTAATGCTAACGTAAGTTCAATAAACTGTAGTGGAAGTCACAATTCGTGAAAATTTATTGTTTATAAAGCGAAAATCCACATAGACGCGCGCAAATCTCAGGTTAGTTAATCCCACGTGCTTGGAAAATAATCATAAACAACACTGGCGTTACCTCGCGAAAATGTTACTTATTTCCATTTAGGCGAGATAAGAACTTGTTAGACTCTCTTTTTTGGGTTAAAAGCTTTCCACCGCCTTTGATAAAGGCCATTAATTTGCAAGCACACATACAACACCACATCAGACACATCGGCCCAAACAAGCAGAAGCCAGCCGACAGCGGCGCTCAGATCATACGCACGCACGACTGCGTTTTTAGGTGATGGAAGCTTTTTTGATATATCAATAGCACTCAAAACAGTGTAACTGCGTTGTCGTTAAGCAAAAACGTACCTTTTTAGACGTCGTGGGCTAAGCACACTAACGTGAACAACTATAAAGGAAGTGCCATAATCTGTGATCCAGACGAACCGAGATCAAAATGAGACTGGGTAGACTTGGTAACCTGGCCATCCTTTTTGGCACCTTTATTTTGGCGTAATCCTCTGGGCGTAATCTGGAGTAGCGGATAACACCATCCAGATGCCTCATCGCAATGTTCAGAGGGCAAAAAAAATTACAATCCTTACAAGGCAAAAACTCACTCGAGTTGGCGTTTGATAAGCTAGGATCTTATGAAGTCGCTTTAGTTAATCGTCCCGTACTACTTCCCCCCTTCTTCACTAAGCTGCTTAGGGGAGACGTTTCTAGAATTTTCTATATTGAGTGAAATTTTATTTCACCAGCTTCCAGAAGTGCAATCCTAAAGTAAATACATAAAGGTTTCTCTCTACCAGTTAAATGACGTCATCGTGCAAATGGCCTAATACCGTTAATTTGCAAGCGTTTTCACTCACGTGGCCAGTATGTTTGCAAATTTACTGGAACAAAAATAGAAGTGCGCATAAAAAAAGACCAACCCCACAGGATTTGTTTGGAACACCAACATGTACATAGCCTGCGAACCGCAGACGCATTTCCGGTCGTGGGGGAGAGAAGCGACATGGCCGCCCACTTTATTGTTTCGGAACACCAATAAAGCCGCCGTGACGTCATGTGAAAAGTTTGTTGCTCTATTAATTTCATTTTTAAAATTCTGTAAAAACCTAGCTAAAACAATGTACGTTTGTTAATACTGCATTGTATCAGTTTTACTGAAATGATCCCTGCGGGGGCCAGTTGCATCAAGTCCGACGTTCAGCCCAGCCACAAACTTTATCAACGCCCAGAGCATTGTACCAGATTTCTCGAATAAGCGCCCGTTTGCTTATTTAAAATTGCGGCCTGTGGTGGGGTGCTCATAAGAAGGAGGGCGCTTAATCGAGGGGGGCGCATATTAATTTTTTTCTTCCAACGAGGCGTAACTTAATCTTTAATAGAAAAGAAAAGATAAAATTAAAAGTCTTGCTTTCGTTTGTTAAAATAGTAGTTGGTAACCAAGCGTATCGCAGTACCCATACACTTTACACACTATTGTATCGGTATACATGTTTATACAATGTCGATTATCTCATCATCCTCAAGATCATCCTCGTCAATGTTCTGCATATCTTTGCATTCCTCTTGTACCCCTGCTAATTACGAAAGAGAGTGGGGGGGGGGGTGGGGGAGGAGGGGGCGCCTATTCTGGGGAGACCGCTTATTGGAGCATGGGCGCTTATTCTAGAAAGTACGGTATCCCCTTATCTTTGATCTTCGAGACCATAGTTAGAAGAGGAGACTGGTTAGCAAACCCGGCAAACATCAAAGTTGAAAACAATGGTACTGTAGGTCATGTTGGAAGCTCCCTGATCGTGCACAATCCTTTGTTTCTTGTTCACAAATTATGACTGAATAACAATGTTTCTATTCGTCAATAACTTCAAAAGGATAGGAATGCTATTGAACGTTGTGCACGTTCATGTCCAAAAAAGCTAACAAAAACCTATAACAAAGGGTTTCCCAGCCATTCCACTTTAATTACCGTATTTATTCGAATAAGCGCCCAACCTCGAATTAGCGCCCACCTCAAATAAGCGCCCACCCCCTCCTCCTCCCAATCAAACTCAAATAAGCGCGCACCCCTACCCCACCCACTTGAGTGAATAAATTTTAATAACAGACTTCCCCGAGGACGGAGTTTTCTTCAGAGTATTTTACAGAAATCTTGCTTTGTTACTTCTTCGCGTTTTGTTATTAGCATTTATTGTTTTGTTGCAAAATAAACATACTTCACTTGCTGAAAATGGTGAAAATTTAATAAGCGCCCACCTCGAATAAGCGCCCACTCTCAAGGTCCAAAAATTTAACAAGCGCCCAGGGCGGTTAATCGAATAAATACGGTAACTATGTCGAGAAACAGTATAAAATTATCAAAGTTTTATGCAACTGGTCTCGCTGATCGACGTCAAGCGGGTGTGAGGAAGTGACTTAACTTATAACGGGCCTTGTTATCCTGGTAAAAGTAACTGGCTGGCAAGACTCCATATTTATTGTATCTCTTTATTTAGAAAAATCATTTTCTATCTACCAATGTTTTTTTCTAAAAATATATACATTTTATTTTCCATCTGTTCTATGTACAAATTCAGCATATTCATGGAAAATGATCGACTTAGGGTTCTATACATTTAGTCCGCTATAAAAATAATTATTTTATAGACAAACATTTTATTGTAAAATATTTCGTGGAAATGACTAAATTTCATTAAATAAAAGCACCAGGAACATTCTCGTTTGGGCTCAGCTAACACATTCATGCCATGCAAGATCTCGTGCGGATCTTGTCTTTGAGACTACGCATAAACTTCACTTTTAAAGTTATCACCACTAGCACTGTTCTAAAACTTTATACAGAGGTTACAGGTAGATGAATGTGATAATTCAAGATAAATTACCGAGCACTAATCTGTTTCTTCATGTCTTTATTGCCACAAAAAGGGAAGACCACATAACGTAACCTTCTCAATTTCTTTTTAGCGATGAGGGTTGACCTTTCTGTAAGTAGCCGCCTTAGAGCGGTTTTCATTTGAGTGTCGAAAAGTAATTGGTTTTGCACTTTCTACACGATGCGATTGGCTTAAAAGATTCGCGCCACCTTTTCATCCAATCAGAAGTAAAACCAAAGCCAATTGTGACGCGCTCGCATGCATTTTCCCGCGCTTTGCGTCAGCCACATGTAATTACTTCGAGTTTTGATTGGTTCAATGTATTGTCTGTGTCCTATGTGATTGGCCAGAGTAATTACTTTGGTTTGGGTTTTACGACACTCAAACGAAAACCACTCTATCGTGGACAAATCCAAGCGATAAGCAGCACAAGTCAGACATACGAAGGCCATATGTTAATCCGAGAGGAGCACGTAATAGATGTATATACTTCATGGCTAAATGCCATATAGTCGTCTACCCCATATGACCCGAAAGCTGGATTCTGATGTACGCTTCCTTGGGCCCTGAAGGGTGACATACCACCTGCGTTGTTCTGCCCACCCTCGATCTGGGCGCGGTAGAGGCACGCGTATGGTCCAAGCACGTGAAATATAGCATATTATCACTTGCCACTTGGAGCCTCACTGCTTTGTTCAAGAGAAGAGAACACGTGACCGGTCACGGGACACACAGTCTTGTTCCTTGCACAGTGTATATGAGTTATTACGCCGTTAGGATAGCGTACAACGGCCGGGTCATTAAAGGGCCTCCTGCAAGACTGACATAGCCTGAAGAACAACAAAAATTACTGTAAGCAAATAAATAAAAATAAATAAATACACGATTCAGTGGCAGCACACAATATGGTTCTTCTTCTGTTGTTTGCTTTTTTCCTAGCCTGAGAAAACAGCCGACGCCACCGCTGGTTTCCCCGCGAAATGACGTCTGAGAAATCCATACTGATGGTGACGCGTCACTACCCAGATCTGGGCAAAGCTTCTGATTGGTTGAAGCAAATTTTAACCAATAAGAAGCACTATCCCACACGTCATCAGTAGGAATTTCTTCGCTCGTTTCTCAGACGTCATTTCGCGGGGAAACCAGTAGTGGCGTCGCAAAATGTCGGCTGTTTTCTCAGGTTATTTTTTCCCTTGTATTTCTCTCCTTTTTTTCCAATCCTGTATCGTTTCTTTTTTTTTAATTCGAATTATGGAGCTGTGGCTTAGAATTGACCAAGAGATTACCTTTCTTCAGTCACCAAAAGATGGGCTTTGTGGGATATCATGTGAGAACTCTTCATCTAAAACGAAACCATAACAAATTTAATATGTGATGCATACAAGTACATGTTCAGAACATATAGAGATTACAAATTCGTCAAAACAAAGATCCCATAAATTGGTACAGGCTTAGAATGGCCCAACATGTGACATACTGCCACTTAGCCTTGGCTATTCCCGGGTCATAGAATTATTACTTTCTGGCTAATTCGCTAGAAAAAATACGCCAGAAACCACGGTTGTTTACTCCAGTCAAACCTGTCTGTCACCCTTGGGAAAAGGCGAGGTGACCGTTGAATGCAGGGTGGCCGCTATATACAGGTCAACTTTGCAGAAAATATTAGGCAATTGACCACTCCAGAAAATACCATAGCACACCAAAATGATCTTTCTTTGTCACCCAAAATTTTGCATAAGCATTATTTTCAGTTTCTCTTAGGGCCATTTTAACCCCCAAGAGAAACTGAAAACAATGCTTATGCAAAATTTTGGGTATTTTGGTATTTGGGTATTTTCTGGAGTGGTCAATTGAAACTTTTCAAGAAGTTGTCCGGTGACCGTAATGGATGCAGGGTGACCGCTATATACAGGGCCGTTATACACAAGACATAGTTTGACTGTACTTACAAAAAGTTTCCGGACAATCCGGTTAGAAAGTAAATGGAAGACGACTTTTTGGGTCGTTTCATCGGAAAATGATTTCCTGGAGCAAAGGAAGGTATGAAAAGGAAGTCCTGTTTCCCAAACTGAAATTCTTGTTCCATTTCTTTAAAGCCACCTTTGATAGCAGTTCTAGGCCTTTGCGCCTGTTTATTCTATTCCGGTTGTAAGCCCCCTGGGATATAAGCCCCTCCCCCTAATACCCCTTACAAGACGTATAAGCCCAGGGGTTATAATCGGCAGAAGACGGTATAATAGGATAAGGGCCTATGATTGCCCAAGGGATTTGCCCCAAACAAGGGTTATTATAACTTACTTTGATGTTTTCCCCTCGAGCCAGGGAACTTAGCATCTTAGTGGTGCGACTTTTATGAAGACTCAACCGCAATGAACCGCTTAGAAACTGAGAAATGAGGCCAATCGACCACTCCTCAGGGATAAGTTTCATCGCCTGAAAAATTTGCAAACGACACAAACACTTTCAACTCATGGGCCGGGTTATTTAAAGGTGGGTTGCATTCAGATATAAAAGCGTAAAAAGCCAATTCAGTTCAATTTGAGGACTGGATGCTCTAAAATCATAAATATCAATTATCCTAGAAAAGGTATTGTGTTTGTATTGTGTATTGTGTTGCCGTGAATTTCACTTTAAGACTCGCTTCTACTAATAGGAGGGTAGCAGGAAACTGCGTTTACTCCCCTACGACAGTCCCATAGTATGGTTTGAAACTTCACTGACCCAGTCATAAGCGCAACTTCAGAATGGCCCATTTGCCATTTGCACATCTCCCATAATACACCTTGATAAGCCCCTCCTCCCGCCCCCCAAAAAATGCATAGACTTTGTCCTTGATTTCTCTTGGGAACAAAGGTAATGTAAAATTTAGGCGGGCGGCGGGCAACAAGAAGTATTATGGAAGATGAGCAAATGGCGAATTCTGTAAAATACTTTGGCATGTTGGAAAAGGTGGTGGTTATAGAAGACGGAATATTAAACAATACCTCAGCAGTGTCAAAGTCCGCCATATGTGAATTGAGAAGTGCCACAGCTGGCGTGATCAATGGCTCGTGTTCCCTGAAAATTGAGAAAAAAGAAATGAAGCAGTTAACCTGAGGTCACGCCCTACAGAAGAGTTCTACAGTGGAACCCCGAAATGCCAAGGGAGCAGTAAAATTATACCGTTATATCGAGGAATCGTTATATCGAAACTCCCGATATAACGACATGGCCTTAAAAATTACCGAAAACATCGTTATATCAGGGTAAACCTAACATGCACTTTTACTGCATACATTATTATTAAATTTGTAATGAGTATCTAACGATCTACAAATGTAACATTTCAAGCACGCAGCAATGTCCTTAAACAGTTTGCAAAGCACTAGAAGTTTTCAAAGTTTGTTATACCCAGTAAATTCTGAGGGGGGAATCGTACAAGTGCAATAAAACTAAACTTAATCATTTGAAGTTGCGACTGTTAGAATCTTTACTTACCGAGTTCGCGTGTTCATTGTTTTTAATGCATTATTGCGCATGACACTCTTGCAACAGTCCTTCTTAAGTCGTTTTCTTTTCAATGTTTGTGTGATGAAAATTATGTACAGCCCAAGTAGACCAAGTAAGTTGATAGAAACGTTAGAGATTACTCGATTACTGTAATGTTATTGCGTTAAATTCAATGCTTTTCTTAATTTGTGACTGTGTACTGATAATATCGTTATATCGGGAAAGATTTTACGCTCGGTCCGCTAAATTCCCATCGTTATGTCGACAATATCGTAAAATCGGGGTTCTCTCCCATACATTTTACTGTTAGAATATTCATCGTCATACCGGGAGCTTCGTTATATCGAATCGTTATATCGGGGTTCCACTGTATTTTACGAGGGAGCTAAGACCGGAGCTTGATCTTGAGTTAACAAATACTTCACATTTTCAAAAATAAGAAAAACTAGCCAATGATTTCTTCATCTACTTACTCGTCTGGTGAAAGGTAGACTTCTAGCAAAGTTTGGAAAAGCTTCGTGCGAAAGTTTCTGTCCTTGCCCTAAAAGAGTCAAATGTGATGATGTTAACCTTGTTACGCTCGGAATTAATTATAGAGATATGAGATGTAATCCGTGAAACAAACTCAAGCGGTGAAAACTATTCACAAATACTTTGATCTTTAGATTTCGCGCGCTGTACATCAGAAATGAAGATATCTAGCTATCTATTCGTCGATAAACGAGCGTTTATAATCACCTTAGAATGTAACTCGCAAAATCTTTCAGCTTCTGCGTAATCCTCAAGTTTGTAAACTAAAATCTTTAGAGCTTTACTGTATTGCTCCATCTGAAAAAAAAATTCAAAGTAAGCTTAGTAAATCACAACGCAACGCGCTCGCCCATGCCAGCTTCGCCCTCAAAAACAAAACTGAGAATGACTCTAGACTGATCGAGAATAGCGAAGGAAACCTCGATGGTGAATGAAATTTTTGTCGAGGGGAGACAGACTTTTCTTTATTCTTGCAAGTAAGGTAGACATTTGTAAGAAAGATCAGAAACATGTTCGAGCCAAACTAGTCAATTATTGCCCGAAACAGGACGATCACAGGCAATGAACCTTGAAACACAGAAACAAACAAAACGGATCGAAATCCACGGATCACAGATCACAAACCATGACCTTTTGAACTCGTTCCAAGTACACATCTGTTTCCTAAACGCGAGGCGCGATATAACGAATTGGGCAGTTGTACAAAAGAATAAAATTTAAATGTCAAGTACCTATTGTACTCGAAAACTTAGCGTCTCAGTACCAACCTTTCCATAGAGAATGGCGGCCTCAGCATCTAAATCTGAATCATCATTAATCTTAGACAACAAGAGAGTCACTCGGTACAGACATGACCACTCCAACATGTGGCGGAGCTTAGTTCTAAAAGAAAAAAATCAAGCTGTTTACAGGAGCTTCCCAAAAGGTGACAAAAGTCACGGATAGGGTAATCTGAGAAAACATAACCAGATCGCCTTTTTCTGTTGACTTTGAATTGCTATTTGGTGGCGACCGACAAGAAAAACGGGGACACTTTTACAAGAAGACAATTGCGCATTAGAGGCCTTTAGATTCTAAGACGAGTACGACAACGAGTAAGAGATTTTCTCAATACTAAGTAGTGCTCGCGCGTGAACCAGCGTCATTTTGGCGGGAAAACGTAGTAGCCGTCGTCACTCTACTACGAGTTTTAGCGAGAATGTCGAAGTGTGGAAAACAAGTTATCAAATGTTAGAAGTTTTATCATTTTGCGGTTTGGAGAGGGTTTAAACTCCTTCACGAGACTAAAGGTAACAGTGTTAACTTTCCTAGTGAAAAATGGTAAAATGAAGCTTTCCGGGGAGTCTATATTTTGAGAATACGCGAAAAAAATTTAAGTCAAATCTCGTACTCGTAGTCGTCCTCGTCATGTCTTGAGATTGAGCGCGATTAAGAATACCGCTCCTTCCGGCGCACCTTTCGTTTTTTGCCCGACAATTACCGAGGAAATAGCTTTAGGACTATTTCAGCGGTAGAAAAATTTTAAGTACGCTTAATTCAGCCTGAGCTTCTGACGATCTGTAGTTGCTCATGTATAACCTTAAAGCAAGAGATATGGCTGTGCGCATGCATAAAGTACTTGCGAGGTAGGTTGGTGTCTGAGTTTGACACTTACTTTGATTTTTTTCTAGTCTAGTAATTATTTATAGTTTTCCGGCTTGTGATAGCCCAATTCCTACCTTTGTACGTTCAGTTTTTCTAAGGAACATGACGGTTCTCGTCTCATTTTCAACACTTGTTCAAGATAAAGCAGCGCTAGATGGGTGTGGTACTTCTCTTTCTAGTTGAGAGAACAGAGAGACCGATTAGTTCTACCATTGTTTGTCTCATTGGTTCAAAGACACGGAAAATTTTCATAGAAGGCAGTTTGGGTTGGCTCAATTACTAGCCGCTGTTCGGAAAAATGAACCCGCACTCCTCCTTTGACCCTACTCGAGAGATCGGTGGAAATCAAGGGTACCGTTGGGGAACAAAAACCTATTAATAGTCTCCAACTACGTTATAGGGGGGCCAAGTTGGTTGACCAAAATTACAACTTCTTTTCCCCAAAATATGTATGGAAAAAGAGTTTAGTTCCCAGCGGAAAGAAACGCTTTTGTTCTTGTCAAACAACATGGCCACCGTGACGTCAGATGCAAACCAGCAATTTATACACGATTTTTTTAAAATTAGTACACGGTTTCTTCGATAATGTAAGGTAAAGGCGCAATTTTATCCTCGGTCGAAATATCACGTCCTTTTGTTTTAGGATATGAAAAACACTATAATGAGTTTAAAACGAAAAACATAAAACTTCAACTCAATGACATGTATGAACGGCTAAAATAAAGTACAAATTACCTCATAATTTTTCACATACACAAGATGTTCTAGATATCGCTGTAATGCCACTGGGAATCTTTGAAGATATTCTACTATTAAGTCAGGCTTCATCTTTTCCTCTTTTGAAGACTTATCTGCTGAGCTGCTAGTGAAAATCTACAACAACGTAAAATAACAACAAAGTTTTTAATTTACAGACAAGGGTGTTGCCGCACAAGAATTCGCCACTTAAGAAACGAGGAGACTGGATCGAGTTAACTATCGTAAAGACTTCTGGGAAGAGGGACAGGGGATAAATTGGCCACTAGCTGAACAACGCCTCCACAGAAACGATTTCAGAAATTTCGGCTCTAGTTTCCTTCTCTGTTCTCCCCTTTCTAAAGTGGCAAATGACAAATTCATGGCAAAATTTGGGTATTTTGAAACTGACAAACGCGTCTAAACAAAAATTTTCACCTCCTACGCATTCCAATCAAAGCGTAATTGAAGAATTACTGAAGTCTTGCACGCAAGCCTGGGCTGAGTCTCCAGCCTTGAGTGTCTCAATACGCCCAGTGGGGTGGGGAGTACCGCAGGCGCATCGAGACACCGAGTCTAGTGTAAACCGCGCGATCGCGTACAAAATCCTACGTTTTCCTGATGGATATTTCAGTGGCTACGCGTTGAAACGAAGGAAGTGAGATATGTCAGTGATTGTCCTAAAAAGTACAGGATCGGTGCGGTATTAATAAACCACCATTTTTTTTCCAAACTACAAAAGCTCCTTTCTCACCCGTAAGGTTAAGGATTGGAACGACGTCAGAGGATTGGGAAAGAGGAACAATGAAATATTCCATTCCCCGTCTCCTTGCTAAAAATGGGGAAGAGGCACAGCCTATCTTGGATTGCAGGTCAATGTTCAAACCGAACACTTTACCTTAACTGCTATATCTTGATCCTTTTCCATTAGCCATGGCACGTGATTCCACAGTAGTTCAAAATCCTTTAAACTAAATCATCCAAATCAAGAGAAAAGATAAATCAATTACTTGTTGGGCTACACATATCTAACAGGACTTCACTTCCCTGTTGACTCGCCGTGTTTCGTGTACACCGTGGTATAACAAGCCCTAAAATCGGAAATCAAAGCATTTTTTTCCTGGCTTAAATTTTAAAATTCCCAGTATCAAAAAATACAAACAGTCTTACCTACAGAGGAAACTGACAACATACTCCATCCCAGGAAAGTTTGGATCTCTAATCTTCTCCTGGATAATCCTTTTAAAAAAGAGGAAAAACTATCACTTTATAGCAAAAAGTAACTTTCTCATTTCCCTTCCTCAGTCCTGCGAGGGGCGTGTGGTTTCAAGGGAAGGATGCGCTTCACATGATGCCCTGCGCTGTCTGTTTTCCGCGACACAACGAGCCTAGGACGAAGCAGTTTTCTTTGGTTATCTGTTTCTTGCAACATGCACTTCTGGGAGGCTGGTGTAATTGAATTTGTTAAACCTGGTTTATTTAAGCATGTTTTGTTTGTTTCATAGCCGAAGCTAAAAAAATTAAATAAATAAATAACAAAGTAGTGGTCAACATTCGCAGGCACCAGTGTCTTTTGCCGTCACAGACCTTGCAGTGTTATCCTCTCAAAAACGTTCAACGGGAAATGGTAAAAACCTTTTTTCTCCTCTAGTATATTCTGGTACAGAGTTAGTGCATACTTTTTCCACACTTCCATAGCTTGAGCAGTTTGATTATGATAACAATAGAACAGGGCCAGAGGGTGGTACCTCTGTAAAAAACAACAAGGATATGAGTCACAAAAGCAACTAAAAGTATGCTCCGAAAAAGTGCTGGCGCTCTCGACGTCAGCTGTTAATTAACTTTTCTTCACCAACCCAGTTGACAAAAAAATAAAATTTTCCGTTTACACTGAAACACTAATTTTTCATAACACAAAAATTATTACTCTTCACTCCATTCAGGTACTCTAATTCATGGACAATTAACTTGAGACAGTTTCCGAAATATTTGCGGAGTATTTTTTGCGACCCTACATGTACGCTAAAGTAGACTACGGACTGCACAATAGCCGAATATTTGCGTTGGCCAGCGAGGGAAAAGGGAGATTGGTATTAGGGTGGATTTCCACTGTCGCGTAAGTTTTACGTGCGTATGGCCGTAAATTTTACACGCATAAATATTATAAAGCGCGACCTTCCATACATTGCCTCTATTTTATTCACGCGCGTAAAATTTACGTGCGTACGCACGTAAAAATTACGCAACAGTGGAAATTCACCTTAAGAAAGGGAAGCTATGTGCGCAAAGCGCAAAAGAATTCACATTTTCTGGGTTTTGCACATTACAAGAGGAAGCTAACTTAGGGAAACCAATTGTTTTTCAGTCTGACTAAAATAGATTAAGATAGTTTCTTACTCCAAAAAAAATAACAGAACAAACTAAACGGGCTGAAGACTAATGAAACTGTGATTTGTAACAAAGAATTTTTTTCTGTCGTATTTATAAACAATAGTTTATCGTCTAGACGTTTTACTTTACCTCATATTTCTGAAGCCAAGACACGGTATCTGCAACAGTACAGTAATTTTCGCTGGAAACCAAATCTTGAAGCGAAGGAGAATTGATTTCGATGTATAATTTCACAAGCGCTGTGTCAACTTCCTAGAGGACGCAGAGAAAATACTCTGTGATCAGATAAACGCTACGAACGAAATATCATTCAACTCGTTCTTCACTTCTATTACAAGAGGTGCAACAAAGGAAGAAACAGAAATCGCAGAACCTACGCCCGCCAAGTTGGACTCAGGTTTTAGTGCGCTTTTCAATAACATGCGACTTCTAGAGTACAACTTTAACGAACGGTTGCGTTTATCGCTTCCGCTTATCACAATGACCAAGAACCTTGAAAAAGAAAAATAATGGATCAAAATCTACCGATTACAAGTCACAACGTGACCTTTCGAACCCCTTGAAGACAACCTGTGTTTCTTAAGAGGGACGTTAATGTGATCGACCGAAGCGAAAAATGTACCCGTAGAAGATTAAGAGGAGATTTCCAAGAGAGGCCGAGAAAACGAAAGCGTAGCACACTCTCCACATATCATAGACCGACATCAGAGTAACTAAGATAGCAAACTACCTACAGAACATTTTTAGGTATGCCGGTCAGCCTGTGATTATTCCCTCCCTATACCTACCTACCTATTATGTCTTTTCAAGCAAGTTATGGGAGGTTTAAAGGTACGATGTACTCATCTATTGGTGGGACACCATCGTGCTAGGGGGCGCACTTGTGAGAGCTGGTATGGTCCCTCTAAACTGAACATATCATTAAGGCTAACCTACCATCAGACGGTCTTTTTTCCCCTTATTCTCTGAAAGACGAGGGGAGAAGGACCTTTCCCTTCGCCGTTCGCCGACTATTTCGCCCCCCGAAAGAAAAAAAAAGAACGCCTGATCGCAAGTCATTTTATGGTTAAAATGTTTGGCTTTAATGAAAAGCGCATTATTTTAGCCAGTGTGTGTATCAAGAGAATCAGTATCCAGAACAGATCTTACCTCTTTGTAACCAGCATCATCTGCAGCCCTCCTTGTTTCCTCCTGCGTTTTAAAGCATTAATGAGATATTCAGTATGACCCCTTTATTCACCACTTCGTTAACAAGGTGACTAAAATTGCAAAACTGATAACAGCTCATGATAAAGGGGAAAGTAAGAACTCAGCTTACAAGGTACTGCATCAGTAACTGTTTAGCCTGTACTAAAAATTGCTTGTTGCCTTTCACTGCAAAAAATAAACTGCTATTAGTGAAATTGTTTGTCTAGCCTGAGAACACAGCCAACACTAGTTTCCAAGCGAAATGACGTCTGAGAAAAGAGCACATAAATTCCATACTGATAAGGCAAAAGAGCTGAATTGCGAACGCGCGTTGCCTGATTTCCCTTTTAAGGACGATAATAGGCCAGCTAAGTACTAGGCAGACAATTCAAAAAAGTTTCAAATTACATTTCTCTCGCGACTTTTCTCAAAACACTTCAACGCCTGAAACCCCGGCGGTGCAGGAAACTCAGCCCTGCATGCCTAGTGCATGTAGAGAACTTGCCCCATGTGAGGTACCGGGTAATCCTGCAATCCGCATTCTGGAATCCGAAATCCACAGCGTAGAATCCAGAATCCAAGAGAGTCTTGGATTACCTTACATGGGTGTACAGAAACATAAACTCATAACTCCGTGCTAGTTTCTAACAACAACGAATACTTTTTGGACTCTTAAAATAGGTTTTATGTCAAACGGGTTGAGAAAATCTAACCTGCGAGCAAGTTCTCCAGGGCGCTCTAGCGGCGGGGCGCAAGAGCGACCCAAAGAGCTTGCTCGCAGGCTAAGAAAATCATCATTTAAACAGCAAGTAATGTGTGGAGTAGATTTCAGACTTACCAAGGCTACTTAGTTCGATCAATTCTCTTGACGGTAAGTACTTCCAATTTGATGACAGCAGTGGGGGAAATAAAATTATTAGCTGAAAATAAAAATGATATGAGCATTAAAAAGCGGGGAGTAAATTTACTTTCTAAAAATCCTCTTCAATCCAGTCTCGAAAAACTGTTACGACTTTTCAAGGATTTGTATAGGTAATAGCATGATTTGCAGTGATATTTGGCATAAATACCACGCGTGAAATTTCAAAATTGTTATACGTAATTTCACGAGCCGTAGGCGAGTGAAATTTGAGACAATTTTGAAATATCATTAGAGGTATTGATGCCAAATATCATGTACAAATCATGTTATTAACTGTTTATACTACTACCCGTGGAAGGTTTGTAATTTTCACATGTAGGTATTTCAGTTAAGGTGAAATACCACTGCTCTAAACCAATCAAATTGCAGAAATTTCTCATGTAGTAGTATAAAAAAATGAACGCAAGTATTTCAGTTTTTAAGGATAATAAAACTACAGGGCTGTGATCTAGTAGTTTCCTGTGGTAACTTACTCAGTTTTGCACTCAGAGCAACCGGTAGCCAGTTTTGTTGCAGAATTTTCCCAAACACAACTTTCGTCCCTTTGTCACAGAAGGTTTGGCCGTTTTCTTTCCTCTGCTGTCCCATTGCTTAAATTTACCCATCTTAACGTAGGACGTAACATTCAGTCCAGATGTTACAGTTACATGTGACACAGAATTCATGCAACTGACGCCAGGAAAGCCCAGTATTTTGCACCAAACTCATACGCTAAGTGCCTTTGATTGAAAAAGGTTTAGAGCTCCGGATCTCAGAGCAGGTCCCTGATTTAAATCCAAGGGTTGCTTGTTTACCATACTGGTACCATTCCAGCCATGCCTGGAGTCGAGGAATGTATCACTATTTAGTAAAATCCAACTAAACTAGTGGTCTACTGTCAACGCTGCGTTCTGATTGGTTGCGCTACTACTAGGCTATATGTTATAGCCCACTAGTAGTGAAAAGCGCCAGCTTTTTGGCAGCAAAAAAGGATTAAAGTCTATCTTTAACTAGCTAAAATGTTTTTATTCTCGATATTTTTGACCAACTAGTTGGATTTTACTTAAACAATTATTCCTCTCGCCCTTATGGCCTCTGAGTCAATAGCTTGACTCAGAGCCCATTCGGGCTCGAGGAATAATTGTTAAAAACACAACCTCGGTTCATTCTTGGTCCCACTATGGTAAACAAATAGCAAAGTCTGATAGAGACAACAGAATGTACCTCTCTTGGATCCAGTCCACCCTCCCTCATAAGACTAGCAGCTTCGGTGAAGTAACCTTCTGCCATGTAAATTAAACCTGCTTTCTGCTGAGTTCTACTAAGAAGCTAAGACAAAAGTGATGATAAGAAAAAAACTCTACAAACAGTCAGTTATGGTGGATTAACAATATACTCAAGTACCTTCTCATCTCTCTGAGGCCCATTCATGGTCTCCATGGCAACATGTGCCAACTGAAGAGCTTCATTGACTCTCTTCTCATTTAATAACATCTGAACCTGGAAAAAAAAATCAAAAAATCAATATGAAGCCAGTGAAGCTGTTTTCTGGTCATTATCGAGCGAAAAAGAGCACAAGTACCCAAAAAATAATTGGTTTTAAGTTGAGTGTGTTATGCTGGCATTTGTTTCTGATGCCAAGTGGGTGGGCATGCGCAGAGAGCACCTTTACTTTTTCCCTCTTCCATATTTCTAGGCTTCATCCCTACGCAAATATTTGCAAAAATGCATTGGATCCTTGTATCATAAATATAGACTTACCACAAGTCAACCTCATAAGATTCCTCACGTCACGATATTCTAAGCGGTGGGAGGCCACAGACCGGACGAGTGAGCAAGAGAAATTGGCATTCAAGCAGACTGGTATGAATGTCTACCTACCGCATACAAATGAGTACCTGTTTTTTAAAGGGAAGCTGCACCAAACAGTAGACTTCTCTTGGAGAACAAACAAACACCTGGTTGTCGTAATTCAGCAAACATTTTCCCCCCTGACAAAACCAAGGCAACATGGTTAGAATTTCATAATTTGTAATATTTTAAACTTGAGAAAAACTAAATAACACATAAATGAGAGATTGAACAAGGCTATTGTAACATTCAAACCCTGGTAGGACTACCAACCAGTGCGTTAAAAAAATACTGGTAAGAACATGCTGGCTGTGTTTGAACCCACACTTCTGTTCAGAAAAAGGAGGGGAAGTTTCCATGGTGGTGTGGTCTATCTCTACATATGTTATCACTTCCGCAGCTGTCATTAAGGGCAAAATATAAATGTGAACCCCAGCTTCCTTCATAAAAATTAGAAAGAAAGAAAGAAATACCTGGTTGTATCATCCCCCTCCCTACTTGGTGTATTAACCAAGAAAATTGAAATCTTAGTGACAGCTCTGACTTCACTTACAGTCTGTATCACACATATCTTGCCTATAACCTAGGCGTCATTATTCCATGCGGCCAATGCGTTTCGGGTCACTGGTCCGAGCAAAGAAGTTATTTTGCCTCAGATATGTTACCAAAGTGAATTGACTAACAAGGCCTAGAAAAATGCCAAAGAGGGGCTATGCAAACACATATCATACACAGTATAAGCTCATAATGGGGCTGATAGTGGCAGGCAGTTGTACCTTAAATGAAAGTGAGTGCTTCTCTGACTTTTGGTCTTGTCCTATAATGCTAAGTGAACAAAACAGAAAAGTGGTAAATATTTTATATTAGTAACTTGTAGCGGCACCCATTAGATTGACAAACCCAAAGCCAACTGTGCACTCATTTTAACCCCCTTTTCCCACCAGTGCTCTGTTTTTTGGGTGTGACTTGACGTCACACCAGAGAATTGGATTCTGAAACTCCTGCAAAGAGAGCTGCATGCTAACGGACTATAATAATCCTTGTCCCTGCATAAAATACCCAAGACACTCTTCATAAGTGAAGCTATTCTTCACACATTTTGGGTGAGCATAGACAGCAAAGTATCACTTACCTGTGAATGGAAATGGAACTTGCTCCCAGTGCAATCACATAAGGGAAAGAAAAGCCAAGAGCCAGCAACCTTTCTGACCAGCTGAGTGGAGCTCTCTGAGAGGTACCTTCAGATGTAACAAACATTCCCATGACATCTGTAGGACCATTTAACAGAAATTCTTCCTGCAACGAANCATGAGGTTTTGAGCCTTGTGCAAGGGGTGGGTCGTGCAATTTTCAGCTACCCTTAGGGGGTGGGTCACTACACTTGTTATATAAAACACAGCCAGCTGGAATTATTGCTAAAATACTCACAAACCTGTTTTGCGAGAAAATAAAAAAGGGTGACAAGCCGCAAATCTATACGGGCGTGGAACCCTCTGTTAACCTTTTTTTTGGCTCTAACGAGCATGTCCTTTAATGATTTTCCTTTTTTGTAAGGAAAGGATTGGTGGTTCTTTAAAAATTTATTGAAGTTATCATTGGTTTTGTATAAGACTCCATTTTTTCATTCAAGCTTCCTTTATAGTAGACACTGAGGGCTGGTATAGTGTCACGAATGGCAATATTTCTTTTTCCTCCTTGTTGTTTTGTTTTAGGAGTTTAGACTCCCTTTTGTGAATTTTATTTCTGATAGTAGGTTTTCTATCAAAGATTGTGGGTAGCCCCCGTCTATCAAGTGTTTTTTTTTAATTTGAATTATTTTCCTCGAAGGTTGTTTCTGAGGAGTTTTTTCGTAGGATTCTCAAGGCTTCTCCTTTGACAAATCCTTTTTTTAACATTTGGAGGGTGACACGAGGTGAAATGTGTGTGCAAGAAGCTTTCCGTTTGTTTAAAATGTGTCTTTGCATCAAGGACATAGGCGTAGGGGCCGGGGGGGCGAGGGGGGCTGCAGCCCTCCCAAATTTTGGGCAACTCAGATTTTTTGGGCAGCGAGAGAAAATTTGGGCAAAGGCAGTTTTTAAAGACGTCTCCATTTTATTTAATTATTTTAAAGACCTGAATATTAACCTGAAGTCAGCGTAATAATCCAGTTACATAACAGTGGTTGCTTAGCATGTGATGAGTAATTTACATATTTGCAGTTTTTTTTTGGTTGGGCACCATACTGCACTGCACTAGCTGGAATGGGCTATTTCCAGTCGAGAATTGATTAAAATAAACTTTCTAGAATCATCTCCACTCGACGAACAGTGTATGGCAGATAGTATTTAGCAATGGGTATTGCCTGCATAGCAAGCGTTTCCGCGCGAGTTCGACTGGAAACACTTCCTACGAAGGCTACAATGGGTATGAAAATGAAGAAGTGGCTGACTAATTCTCAGTTTGAATTACGAGAAGAATATTAATTCGTTTAAAAAATCTATCGAGCGGTTTAAAATAATTCGCTAATTTGTTAAAGTAGACCGAAATGTTTACAAAATCGCTAACAAGAATGGCTCGATACATACTAATCAAATCCTTCTTTCGATTCTAGCAATCAAGCAGAGTTATCTCCACAATCTTTCACACATGTTTTTAAAAAGATTAAAACTACTATGAGGTGAAATTGCAGGTCAAAAGCGCTTCGTTTTCTACAGATAACTGCCAAAAAACAAAGATTTTCCTTTTCTTACCCTATTTCTAATAATAAAAACTTCATTGCAAAATATCTCGATAACGCTCTTAAGGTTTTGCTTAAACTTCACGAACATCCAGGCGACCGTATTGGAGAAAAAAGCTCCTGTGAACGATTTTGTAAGGTTCCCGTCCCGAGAATCGTTGCTGAAGTAAAATAGGTAATGCAGTCATTTCGTTGCTATGACAACTCCGATATCATTGCGACCCTGATGATGACAAATTTTCATCTTAATACAACTGTGGTCGCAATTTTTCCAAATGTTTGTTTATGGCAACGTAGTTTATGCTCAGACTTGGTATTGACCCTGAAAAACTGTGTCGAGCCACCTTCATATGCCAGGACGGCCTATGTTGTTGCAATATGGCACTCATTTCTTTTCGACTGTTTCGTAAAAATTTGGGCAACTTGCGAGATGTTTTTGGGCAAATGGTTTACCGCCCCCCCTGGCAAAAAAGTTCCCATACGCCTATGATCAAGGATAGATTTTTCCTTGAATCTTGTGCCTTTGTATACACCGTGTCTAAAAACGCAGTCTCAGTGTCAAATGTTTCAGCCGTGAATTTGGGTGATGTAAGTTTGCTTGTTCAATGAAGGCTTCGATGTCTGGTTTACTCATGTCCCATAACAAAAAGAAATTGTGTATGTAGCATTTCCAAACTGTTGTTCTAAAGACAGTTTTGCTAAGAGTTGTTGTTTCAATATATGTCATGAAAATATTGGCAAAGGAATCAAAGCTGCTGTCTTTGTGCCCATTGCAGTTCCATGGTTTTGTAGGTGGTGCTTTCCATTGAAGTGGAAGAACTTTTCTTTGAGGATTAATCTGAGCATTTCCGGCAAGTAATGTGTAGGAATGGGTTGTCTTTGTAGAAATTTTAATATGCTTTGTGACAGACAATTTCAATATACCCTCGTTTTGCTGTATATTTGTGTCAAGACTCATAACGTCCATCGAAACAAGAAATGTTCGGTTTTTCACATTTGTCTTTTCACTGAAAGGTATGATTTCTGTGATTTTGATATTGGTTGTAGCAGTGTATCAACAAATTTTGTCAAGCACAGAACAAGGTTTTATTGGATTATTAAGAGGAAACCAAACATCTATGTTTTAACTAGGGGGTGGGTCATGCAATTTCCAACCTTGCTTTAGGGGTGGGTCAGTCATTTTTGCGCCGAAGGGAGGGGGTGGGTCATGTGTTTTTTATCAACCACATTTCCAAATGCTCCGGCCCACCCCCCCCCCTATACTTTTTGACCAGTCCCTTAGTAACTTGTAGCAGCACCCATTAGATTGACAAACCCAAAGCCAACTGTGCACTCATTTTAACCCCCTTTTCCCACCAGTGCTCTGTTTTTTGGGTGTGACTTGACGTCACACCAGAGAATTGGATTCTGAAACTCCTGCAAAGAGAGCTGCATGCTAACGGACTATAATAATCCTTGTCCCTGCATAAAATACCCAAGACACTCTTCATAAGTGAAGCTATTCTTCACACATTTTGGGTGAGCATAGACAGCAAAGTATCACTTACCTGTGAATGGAAATGGAACTTGCTCCCAGTGCAATCACATAAGGGAAAGAAAAGCCAAGAGCCAGCAACCTTTCTGACCAGCTGAGTGGAGCTCTCTGAGAGGTACCTTCAGATGTAACAAACATTCCCATGACATCTGTAGGACCATTTAACAGAAATTCTTCCTGCAACGAAAAATTCAAAACATGATGACCTTTGCCAAGTGTGCGCTTCAAAAGTGGACTACACTGGATTATTGATTGAACAAATACATGTAGGACAAGAGCAGAAAAGCCTTGAATTACATCCCCCTAAATGTAAAATAGAAAAAATTAACAAGAAGAAGAAGTTAAGATTGGGGAAAGAGAGAAATTCTGGCACATTTGGCCCCAAGAGCCTCATGGGAAGAGGTTAATGTGAAAAATAGACCATGGACCCTAGGGTTCATTTCTCAAAAGTGCAGTAACTTTTCAGATCAAAGCCATGTTTAAAAATCAAAATCATGTTAAAGAATGTCAGTGAGGATTCCAGCCCCCTAACCAGTCCATTTTGTTTCTTTATCTGGTAATTACATTGCACTACTTTGAAAACTGTGAAAAGCTTAATCTTGAACTTAAACATGGCACATGTAAAAAAAAAGCCCAATGGGCCTGGTAATTACTGGGACCTTTAAGAAAATCATATGCTCCTGAACTGTGGGTTATCCCACACCCAAAAACAACTTGTTATGAAACACTTTGCACGAGGTTGAGACCAAAAAATGGCATCCAGTCATGATACCTAAGATCCAATATCTTACCAAAAGACATTCAAAAAATACAAGTCACACAGATTAACTAACAGGCCCGTGTTGCTCGAAGCATGGTTAGTGCTAACCAGCGTTAAATACCATGGAAACCTATACATTTTGATACCTCTTAACCAACGGTTAGCGCTAACCAGGCTTCGAGCAACCGGCCCCAGGATATTAGCGTATTGCAGTTCATGTGTAGATAGGTGTGGCAAATGGTACTACTGCTACCATGTACTCATTTTCCCAGATCAGGCCCCAGTTGTTCAAAAGTTGGACAGTGCTATCCACTGGATAAATCACTATCCAGTGGATAAGTATTAGGGACACTGATTGCACTATCCAGCAGATAGGGATTAATCTGGTGGATAATGCCATCCAACATTTGAACAACTGAGACCAGATTAATATTTTTTGAAATCCTCAAATTCGTATGGCCATTCGCCAACACTCCTAGAGATAGCTCACCATTCCAACACCCATGACCAGTCCTTTTGTCATCTCAGCTTCATAATGAAACAATTCTTGAACCTAAGTGTCAGCACATAGGCAGGCAAAAGAGTAATTACAACTAGTACAATGTGCCTGGCATATGATACATATATTAGCTAAAAGCATGACAAGAACATAAAGAGACTCTATGATTGTTGAAGATGGATAAAACTAAATATAAAGAAGATCCTCACAAAAGAACAACTGCATTACAAAACCTTCTCCAAAAATTATAACCTTTGTCTGAAGAAATAAACCCTTGTCTTTTTGCTGTGACTTTTTCCAGTTTGCAGGGAGGTCTATTCCAATCTCATTCCCAATGTTGTGTTAACCTTGTCCAGCAAAACCATGTTTCACTATCACCTGTTCCACTGGACAAGGGTAATGCCGACTCTGGGAACAAGAGTGGGTCTGCTCAAGAAAAGGGGTTATGACTGTATTTATTTCGTTTACCTCTATATTATACAGAGTGAATAAAAAAGGTAAAAAGAAGCTGTACCTGGCCTGTCTGAATGTTGACCATGCAGTACCTATGCTGGTTTGCCAATGCCACACACACAGCACCTCCATCCACTGCCTGCATGAGTTTTAAAATCAATGATGTAATTATACACAACAAAACCATTCTAGTGGCTCAAAACCACATATTAATAATCAATGATTCAGAAAACATTTATTGCTTTAAATGTGGCTAAATTGTAATTTTGGCAAGGTTAACCTCAAGACAATGCTAGCGGGTTGGCGGTTGAGCCTCAGGCAGGCAGGCTTGTGCGGAGTGGTTGCTTGGTCTGCAGGGGCTGACATTTGATTGCATATCTCAGCTTTGCTTTGCTTAGCTGATCATTGCTATTGAAGGCCTATGACACTGGGGTCAGGGGTGTTTTTGAGGTGGTTGGTGCTCGCTTGGTTGCCATGGTTACCTCTAAGACAATGCTTCCCTTTTACGCTATAGGCCCTTCTACCTGCTCCCAAGTTCATCTTTTTAATATCATCAGCAGTCTAATCTCATTGTCACTCACCATATGTAATGGTGGTTCTGGAAGCTGAATTTCTTTAAGTGGAATGATCTTGTCTTCAGTAACTGATAAAATGTGAACAGCTCTCTTCTTAGAAAGTGCCATGCAAACCTATAAATACATAGTGCCAGTAAAAAAAAACTCTTTTAACTATTTTACATATTATATCAACTACACATATGACATCATGAATTAGTGAGCAATTTCAAAATATAAAAATAATTGGAGCATCAGAGACCACATGCATTCCTCTTCAAACTACTCAAATAAATCTATTTAACGTTTCAACCATAGAACTTCTGATAATAGCAACTTTAAAACAATATCTTATTTTTTCTTTCTTTTTATGAACAATATTCCATTTTTAATTATTGCAGAGCACGTAAAGGAAAGACATAAAAAAAATTTGAGTAACGTAAAAGGGGAAAGGTACAGAATATACACAACTGCACTGCATGAATACAATGAAAATCTATCAGATGTGTTTAATAAAGAGGACTTACCTCAACAGCAAATGGATCAAATAAATTTGGGTTATCATTTCTACAGATTGCAGTCACCTAAAAAACACAGGTCAGATTCAACAATGTTATTACTCTTGACAAAGTTTAAAATGCATGATAACAGCTAGCTTTAGTTGCCTCTACTAAAAATACATGTACTGAATTTTCACAGCCATGAAACTTGAAGCTGTTATAATAAATAAATAATATTATTATTGAAGCAGATTTTTTAGATGTATAGACTTCTATAAATATGGTTCATGCATTTTTGCTTCTGAGCAATCTCCAAAAATCAACACCACTTGGAAATATATTGCTATTGCTCAACTTACCCCTTTAAATCTGTCTTTAAATCCTGTGGCCAAAAACTGTAAGAAAATTTGGAACCAATAATAATTATAAAGGCAACTGATTTATAACAATAATCAAATTTTGACAGTTTTAGAAGTCAAATAATTTTACAACCCATTGGAGGGAATGCTAATCCGTCATATAAAGCTACATCCACAGTACAATCTGTATTGCTGAGGGAAAAAAATTGCAAGCAGTGTATATTGTTATTCCACCATAGGTAGGGTCATATACATAAGTTGGAAATGAACTGGGGTTCATACAAAAAATATTACAACCATTTTTTCAGGACTTTTCAAGAACTTGTCAAGGACCACATTTGATTTTCAAGGACCACCTAATAAGGAAAGTAATTTCACAGACTGTACAAAAATGTGCATTCCCAGTCCATTCTAGCAAGACTTTAAGGCTTAAACTTAACCTACATTTTTCAGTACACTTGTCTTAAATTGATATAAAATGTTCAAAAAATGCTGTACAGCATATTCTCTCTTGGAAAACCAAAACCATTAAAAAACATTTTTCTGGCTATTATGTTAAAAGCTGAAGAAAATTCAAGAACTTTTCAAGGACTTGCAAAGAAATTTTAGGAATTTTCAAGAACTTCCACTAAAATTCAAGGATTTTTCAAGAAGACTGTGCAAAGCCTGTGAACTACGTGTACTTAAGGTTATATGAAAATGTCAGTAATAAGATATAATATAACTCACCTCTAAACCAAACATAGTGAACATCAAAATCCCACCTGCCAAAAGAAACATAAACAGAATTTAATCAGCAGATAATGTTGAAATGGTAATCTATAACAACGGTAAAATGTGTCATTTCTCCCTTTAATATCAGCAGGGTAGTACCTACATTAAACCACAAAACATTCTGCATTATTTCACTTTGACTGATGCAATAAATCTATATTTTGACATTCTAAAAGTGGAGACATTAATGCTGTTAACAAGCTAAATAAACTGAAAATAAGATACCTAATTACATGTGAAACAAGTATGTATGTAAGCCAAAACAAACAAAACAAAGTTCAGTGGATTGTGATATTCAGAATAATCAAGGTTAGGATGAGTGTTATCCCCTCAGCAGGAAAAAAAAAACATACCATCACAGAGCACAAGAAGTCTGNGGAAAACCAAAACCATTAAAAAACATTTTTCTGGCTATTATGTTAAAAGCTGAAGAAAATTCAAGAACTTTTCAAGGACTTGCAAAGAAATTTTAGGAATTTTCAAGAACTTCCACTAAAATTCAAGGATTTTTCAAGAAGACTGTGCAAAGCCTGTGAACTACGTGTACTTAAGGTTATATGAAAATGTCAGTAATAAGATATAATATAACTCACCTCTAAACCAAACATAGTGAACATCAAAATCCCACCTGCCAAAAGAAACATAAACAGAATTTAATCAGCAGATAATGTTGAAATGGTAATCTATAACAACGGTAAAATGTGTCATTTCTCCCTTTAATATCAGCAGGGTAGTACCTACATTAAACCACAAAACATTCTGCATTATTTCACTTTGACTGATGCAATAAATCTATATTTTGACATTCTAAAAGTGGAGACATTAATGCTGTTAACAAGCTAAATAAACTGAAAATAAGATACCTAATTACATGTGAAACAAGTATGTATGTAAGCCAAAACAAACAAAACAAAGTTCAGTGGATTGTGATATTCAGAATAATCAAGGTTAGGATGAGTGTTATCCCCTCAGCAGGAAAAAAAAAACATACCATCACAGAGCACAAGAAGTCTGTTTATTGCTGGAGCTGTCAGCACCTGCACAACAGGCTTTTTCTGAAATCAATGAAAATGAAAAAGTTTATCATCAACAAAGTAGAGAATTCTTTAAAGGGACAAGTTCACAGTTCAGCGCATGCACATTAATTAAATTACTTTTTTCCAATTTTTTATTAATTCTGTTGGTAAATAATCCCACTCACATGTATCTCAGTGATTTCAAGGTGTATTTCAAAGTAGAAGTGTATTTCAAAGTAACCTGAAGTAGGGTGGAGGAGTACTAAAATCGCAGAAAAAATTAGTGGATCATGCCAACACTGCTAACGTTGAATTTATTGTTGACCCAAAGGTTTTATTCCATGGTTGATAATTTACAGCTATTTGCACACAAGTTGATCAAGTGACTGCCAAGAGAGATGGTTCTTTGACAACATCATAACATGATCATATTGCTTGCATAGACGATACAGCATGTCCTGGCAGAAAACAGCATTTTCATTTATGAGCATGAGCTGAACCATGAAACCGTCCCTTTAAAATTAAAAATGAAATATTAATTTCAGACAAAAGGAAATATTGAAAATTGGAGATTGTCAAAGAAAACGAAAAACCTGTACAAAAAGGCTGCTTAATATTATCAGTTAATAAGAAAAGAAGGTAAAAATGGAAGATCATTACATTAAGTTCAAGGTTGACCTGGATGAATTTTACATAGTATCTGCCATTGTATAATGACTTCACACAAGCAAGGTGACTGTGTATCATGTTAAATTAAGATTAAAACATACACTGTACACAGCTGAGCCGCCATTAAAGCGACCACCCTTGGGGTACCGGCAAGTGGCCGCTTAATGGAGGTTGGCCACTCTTAATTAGCAAACTCCTCGGCAGAAACATCACCTTATTTTGTAACACACACGCAACATGGTTGACAATCAGTCATTACCATCTACACTGTATCTAGAGCTGCAGTTTCCTTTAACATATTTTTAAAAAAGCTAAACTGCATTTAAGTGTATCAAGCACTTCATGGCCACTAATAGAGGTTTCACTTATTATTATTTTCTAAATTATTATTTTAGGGTATTATTACTGGCAGCCTCATAGATGGTGGCTACTTAAAAGGCAAACAATTTAAAGAAGGTTCAACTGTAGTAATGGCAGCCTCATAGATGGTGGCTACTTAAAAGGAAGACAATTTAAAGAAGGTTCAACTGTAGTTGTTTGTTATCAACAAACCATTCCAAGATGCTTGCTTGCTTGCAGTCCTGACTGAAATGTTGTTTTACCCAGTGGTGAAACTCCTTCATCAATGACATAATGAAGAACAAAACTGGAGACAAAATAAATAATTGTTTAAATCCCAACAAGAGTGGTAGGGAAACAGCTCTAGTTACTATAAATACGTTGCCAACACAATTATATAAAATTAATATCAAAGATTAGTTGTTGGCAGATCAAAGTCAAAAAACTGGCTTTTTTAAGTCAGGGAACTGCTGCGTTCTTCTAGAAAGAACAGTAGATCCTTCCAAGCATAATTCCTGTTAACTATTTGTCCTCTAGTGATGACATAAACAAGAGAACTCAGGGTACTAAAAATAGAAGAAAATAAAAGACAGGGGCACCCAACGACGGTTTCCTCCTAAATAAATTAAAAACACTTTTTGGGCCATGCAGGGTACTTTTAGATCTCTAGAAATGCACTCTAAGCAACGCTATAAAATTTGTAGCTTTTCAGTCATCAAAGGGAAACTTGATTCTTTTTGAAATTACAAGTGGCATATCTAACTTGCGGAACCCAAAGAACTCTCAAAACCTACGGAAAGCAAAAAAAAACAGATACATGTTCCTGAATATGGTCTAAATCATTTCCAGGGTAGGAATTTCTTCTTAATTCAACATTAAAATTCTCACTATTTTAAACTGATCAAGATACCAAGCTTAGTATGGGCACTAGTCTACCCACATGTAGCCCAAAATAAGGAGCCTAACTGAGATTCCCAATTAATACACATAAATGGCATTTTATCAGTCTTTACTTAAAATTTAATTCCAAGTCATAAATCTGCAAAAATTAATTATCATGGAAATAATGTAAACACGCAGTTTATACCTCATCACACAAGGTTGGAAAAGATGTTTTGAAAGCTCCAGTTCTCTTCTGTTGTCATTTTTTGGCACATTATATGTTTCCATGAGTCAATTTGTAGATTTCATTTACCACTAATACGAATTTAACCCGTCCAAGATGTGTTTCTTTTTATTCCGTGATCATGACACACCGTATTTCCTCGAATGATAGCTGTCCCACAATTAATCACCTACCACAAAATAATCACCCTCCTTTGATGAAAATATTCAAAATAATCACTTCCCTCGAATAATCACCCCCTACCTCTCTTAAGTAAAAAATTGACACCTTGAATAACAAGCAAAGCTGAACTAGAGTCTGATCCAGCAAAACTGATCAGTGACGATGCAAGCTCTGATGCCGAGGATACTGACTTTGAAAATCAATCAAGGAACCAAATTTGGACGTGATTATTATTTTTTTCTATTTAATGGGATAATAAAACAAAATCTTTATTGCACGTTTTCCAGGGAGCAATATTTTGAAATAATCACTTCCTCGAATAATCGGCCCCTTTTGGTGCAAAAAATAATAATAATAATCGCCCCAAGCTATTATCCAAGGAATTACGGTAATCTTATTTAATTGATATTATCATTGTGCGTTTCATAATAATTGGTTACTTTGGCTAAATGGTTTTAAGTCACAACACGCGAAGTTTTTTGCTTGCGAAAGGGTGCATGCTCCAACTCCGACAATGGAATTTTATTTCTTCTTCTTCATTGCTTTCCGCTTCCTGTTCTATTCTATTTTTCCTGGCTTTTTTTAACTATCTTCTAATACTACTTTAAAATTATAACTACTTAGCCACAGCAATACCTCATTTTTTTAAAAAAAGGGACATAATTTACGATGGATCTAGGATGTATATGTTGTGGTTCAATTTCATCCTTGGTTTAAATTTCATTTTCCTTTGTTTTGGGGTTTGGTAATGTATGATAATGAGTTTAAAAATGAGTTTATAAAATTTAAACCAAGGATAAAATTGAACCACAACATGGAACCAAAATTAATATAGTCTCCAACATCAATTCAAGTCTATTCATACACCAAGTATCTCAATATGAAAAGTCTAGTCTTGAGTCACAGAAGTGCGAAGAGACGCGGAAAGAGGAAGGAAGAGATGTAGAAAAGCCGAAAAAGGACAGTGGTATGCTTCACCCAATTTCTAGTTTACAGTGAACACTCTGGTCGACACAGATTCTACATTCTTTCATGTGATCTGATTTGTTTCTCCTTGCAGGAGTCTATTTGTGTGTATTGGCATCTCTACAAGTATTTTTGTTTAAAACTAAATAAGCTCTATGAAAACATTTAAGCTTATTCTTAGGTGAATGAATTTTTAAGTGTACTGATCATTGAAAGGATAATAATTATTTTAGTTAACATAATGTTTAACGACATGGAATCAAACACAGAGTACGCAAGTATCCAATGTGGTTAAACAACTGATCTTGCGAAATACATCCCTTGCCATCTCCACATGGTGTAAAATGGAGACTCCATTAGGGAGTCTCTAAGTATTCTATCCCATTTTTTTCACTTCTTGATAATTATTGTAGTTTTAAATTTAACTGCTAAATAATCTATTTTACACAACTTTTGAGGGAACCTGAGTAGGGCTTTTTCTTTTAGGCTGCCTGTGCCTAGACCAGTGCCCACACTACATCTGGTAAATTGATCAGTCTAAAACAGTAAAAATCTTCATATTGTACTAAGAAGAAGAAATCCCAACCCTGGAAATGGCTTACGCCATATTCAGGAACATGCATGACCATTTTTTTGCTTTAATTTAAGGTTCTGTAGGTTCCGTGGGTTCTGTAGGTTCCGCGAATTAGATAAAACCAAAAAACAAGGGCTTTAGCATTATTTTACCCAAAATTTTAGACGCAATTTAATGTACTACAAAAGTGTGGATTCTACTGATTCCTCTCTCCATCACATTTTTGAATCCGAAAATTTTATGTTTCCTTTTTTGTATTTGTAAGATGGGCTTCGAAAACTGTACATGAATGAAATGGTCATCTAGAAATTCTTAGCCGTCCCCTTAGGTATATAGTTGACTTTAATTAACAAGCTACTGTTTTAAAGTTGTGCAATGCATAAAATTAGCAGTGCTGCTGGCCTCTCAGAGCCCCTACCCCATTATAGTCTATTCTGTGGCCAATTATAGATCCCATCTTAGTCACTTTTGGGCAAATACGTAATTTTCGCGATACCAACTTAGTCACTTTCTATTTTTATAAATTGACACATTTGTGAGATTGAATGAAGAATGCTTTACTCTTCATCTAGAGTACAAACATTCTGGTACATTTGCTAACCCTAAATAACAAGAACTGTCTTACCCAAAAAAATCCGAAAATGTCCAACCCCATTCTAGTAACTCTATTGAATTAGTGTGACCCCATTAAAGTCAATCCAGTTGTGAAAATGCGACCCCATACAGCGGCACATCCCCATTAGCCTGTTATCAGGAAGTATCTCCCTCGGGTCTATCATACAGACCGGGGGGGAAGCTACTTCCCATACATTCTCTTAAATGACATCCAAACGATGTTCTTACAACTTGCAAAGTGATCAAAGTGATCAAAGGGGTCTTGCCAGCGGATTTGCGTACTGATCATGCGCATTACATCAAAAACTGTAGATCAAAGGTTTTGAGAAGGAACAAAAACATGGCGGTCCAAGGAGGGACTGTTTCTCACTATTATATTTTGGTAATTTGCAAATTTCAGACATAGTGTGTAGTTTTCTTTTTCTGTTAAACAATTACCCTCTGCAGAGTTTGGAATATGCAACATATAGCTGCATGTAGCTGATAAGAACGGCTGAAGAGTTGAGCTATCAAGCAGTGTTTTGCTACAAACCTTAGGAAAGTTAAGGTCGCTTCAAGGTACAGAGCATTCAGTCGTAGTTGTGATTTGTTTATTAGAATCATTTTGAATTTTATCTTTGAATTCAAGGTGTTGACTGATCATAATAAATGAAGAGAAATGTTATGAAGTGTGAATTTTTATTCAGGTATGATATGTACAGCTGTAAGCTCATATTTATGAGGCTCACTTGAAAATACTTACTTCCAATCAATTTGACGCTTTCTGCAGTAATATTTATCAGCATTATAACTCATATAATCTTGTGATGTCCTCCCCCTGGAAAAAATGATGTAACCTATATATCGATCGAGTGCCCTGTTGTTGGTTAAGATCTAACACGGTTGCACAATTTCAGTACCAAAGGACAAATACTGAAATATGCAAGAAAAACAAAGATGCATGATATTATTTTTTCAATTTTTCAATCATTTCCTCTGCTGGTTGGCTTCTTTCTTCTATTAAAATATTTACTGTGGGAAAAATACTGGAATTATCCTCTGACCATCACATAAGGTGACCGCTTTGCAAGTTGTGAGAACATCGTTTCTCGGTCCCAGACCTAGTCTCCCCCCCAACCCCCTGATATAGACATACCAATCCGTTGTTCCAATATATAAATTCTGAGCTGCACAGTCAATGCATTCAACCTAAAAGAGTATTGTTTTTTTTTTAATGACAACATCATTTACTTTTATAATGAAGTTATTTAGTGTACAACCGCTCGATGTGCTTCGTGTAACGTCAGTTTACACGTGCTTCAAACTCACCTCCCCATCCCTACAAGGGCCTCGTAAATAATACAAGTTTTATAAGAAAAATCACAAAGTCGATCAAATTCCCACAGTGTTTCCTCGGTGTAAGAACCTGTGAAACTCACAAGTGACGTAAAGCAAAGGAATCAAAGAAGTCAACACAACAAAACCTAAGAAAACAAAAGGTGCAAAACAAAGAAAAAGATCATAGGTTCTTACACCGAGGTAAACCCCCTACAGTGTGAATCTCTTAATAAGAAGAACCTTGAATGGAATTTTGTTCACATAATAAAATTATTACAACAAACTACTTACAGTTTTGGGCCTTTCTGCGGATGTAGTTACTATCCTTTCGATGACTGGTGCGATTTCAAACGCTTTAAAGCTCACTTTTGCATGAGATTCATACGCAGCTGTGTTCAGATGGCTGTAAAACTCCGCCATTTTGTTTTCATGGTTTAGTATGGCGGGCTCAAGTAGTACCAGTTC